TGCTCACACCAAATGCATCCCCCACTGGTAACAAGCAGATGTCCATTCTTGTTCCACTGGATTGTAATGAATTATTGTTGTGTCCATTATGGGGGCCGGGGGAGAGATAGCTGCCTTCCACCTCATTACTGCAAAATATACCTCATTACAAGAGTAACTTCTTAGAAAAAATGATTTTCTTTCAAGCTCTTGGAGATGCAACAGTTGCTTGCGATTGGCTATATTTGAGATTTAGAAAATCTATCTCCTTGACTGCTAACAAATGTCAAGAAAAAAATATGATCTGCTTTATGAAATATTCTAGCAGGAATAAAATGCTTTAATTAAAGGAAAAATCATCACAGCTGAATTGCACCCTGAAAAGCAAGGAAATTTGGACGACAGATTGCTACACCACCTCACTCAAAACATGGTCATATTGAGGTACCTTTCCCCTACTCTTCCACCCCAGTAAACACTGCAGCACAGTCCCACCTCTCACCAGATCAGCAGCAGAGTGCAAAACCAAGTTCTCTAACCTAAGGGAAAGAAATATTGCAATGTTTAAATAGCCTTAGTTCTATGCAAGCAGAGATTTCTATCTATCTATCTATCTATCTATCTATCTATCTATCCATCTATCCATCTATCCATCTATCCATCCATCCATCTATCTATCTATCTATCTATCTATCTATCTATCTATCTATCTATCTATCTATCTATCTATCTATCTATCTATCTATCTCTAGGGAATCAAACAACAGAAGTCACCTCTTATTTTTTACCTAGGGTAGTGGAAAGGTTGATGGACTAGGACTTAAGAGACCAATCCTCATTTGGCCATGGAAACTCTCTGGATGAACGGAACTGGTAAAGCCACACCTTAAATATCTCAGGTATCTTGACAGACCTATTAAGGTCACTGTGAGTCAGTTCAAACTTGACAGCACACAACAACAATGGAAATAAGGCAATGTTCTGCTCATTTGGGTAAAAGGTATAAGTAGAGGCATCCAGCTTTCAGAAGGTGGCAGAACTGAAGCACGAATGAATAAGTGACATAATAAAAAGGTTGCCAAAAAGAAAGACAGTCTGTACCATTTGTTGCTCTGAGAACTGTGCAAGCCTCTCATCAACCATAACTATAGAATGAGTACAGGCACTGTATAATGTTGCTGTACTGAAAAAAGACTAATTAAAACTTTACATTAAATGTGCATTTCCTAGTGCAATAACAGCAGTACTGCCATACAGATAGTGCTAGTTATGAAGATGGGAGGCCCTCCCTTAAACATTTAACTGATCTTGGATTGAGCAGTCTACCTTTTGCTAGTTACTACTAGTTTCATTTCTCCACTGAATGCCATGGGGAGGCGAGCAAAATCACATGCTCCCATTCTCATACACCACTTCCAATTCAAATAAAAATATGACAGGCTTTTCAAAAAAAAGAGGGGGGGAAAGGAAATAGAAATTATCCTTTAAATAGTGCAGTATAACCTGACACCAAAGCTAATGAATCAACATATCCCTATTTGGTAGAGATTTACTATTTTGAGGTGTAAATATCTGTGTTTGCCACATAATTCTTTTCAGGCGCACTGTCACCCTCCATGTTACAGAAGGTTAATTATCACTGTTTGAGCATGAACTGATTATAGAAATACCAGCTGCCAGTTATTCTACATGGTGAAGTTCACCTGGAAACAGACAACTGTGACTGATTTCTGAAGCAAACATTTATTCTGGCAAGCCAAAAGACAGAAGGAATCATTACACACCTGCTTGTTCCAGGCAGGAATTTGCATCCATAACTCTTCATAAAAAATATTACAAGTTACACAACCAGAAGAGCTGCAAACCTGAGCCTGTTCATGGTAATAGCAACAATTTTTCCTCTGAAATTCCACTATACCAAAGGGGGCGAAGCAAGGGGGGATCAGCTGCACAACCTGTAAACTCCGAACTTCTGCAGAGAATTTCAATAAAGCACAAATAGCAAAACAAACAGGATTATTGTACAGGGGCATATCTGTGAACACCTGGGTATCTCAAAACCGTCCTGTTCAAATAATCAAGTTCTATATCTCTGACTACTCAACATTAGAGGACTTGTTGAAAAAGGAATTATGTTTATTAAAAAGGTTACCTTTGGTTTTTGTGGATGTTGGAGTAAAGTTATTATATCATCAAAGGCCCTTGCTATTTGGGTATTTTATTATTTTCATTCTAGAGAGGTCATCTCACAGAGAAGTTCTGTGACCTTATGCTATAACAAATTTACTATGGCATAAACATTCATGGACTACAGTCCGCTATATCAGATGAAACTGATGAGTCTCATAAAGTGGACTGCAACTGAGGAAAGTGTATGCTGTAATAAATTAGTCCAAATGGGCAATCCTGCTGAAATGGATTCAGTCAGAATGCAGCAATAGCTGCTTCACAGCATATGAAGTTATATCTAAGTATCATGGAATTCTCTGGCCAACAGGCAGGGACATGGAAGAGGAGCAAATCTGAACCAAGAAATATCAATTCAACTCATCAGGGAGGAGAATGCAAGGATTTATAAAGAGAGGCACACAATTGTAAGTATCAGAACCATTCTTTAAAAGGGGGTGGGGGAATATATAGAAACCATATGACTCCAGACAGGTTTATGTCCATTCACACTGAAACAATCAGATAAAAGCTATTGAACCTAAATATGTTACTTAGGTCCAATTCTAATGCGATTCAACACCCTGGAAATCACCACATATCCATATAAAGGCAGATGATTTTAACAGTGCAATCCTATATTCCAGTGGTTCCCATCTTAGACTAAAACTTTCAGAAGCTTTCACCACTAGCTGTGCTGGCTATGATTTCTGGGAGTTGTAGTCAAAGAACATCTGGGGACCCAAGGTTGGGAACCACTGCTATATGCCATCTATGTTAATGAGAAGCTATAGCATGCCTGTTACCAACACTGATATTCAAGTCCATTGCCATTTTTTATTTATATTTCTATCCCACACAATTTATATTTTATAAATATTTCTATCCCACACAATTAGTGGCAGAGACACTATTCAGGATGGCAAAAAAACAGAATAACACAAACAACCCCCCAATAACATCCACATAATCAATAAACGTGAAATATAATAACAAAATATAAAATACCTAGTAAAAATATAGACTAAAATATTCAAAATATCAAATACAATAAAGGCAGCAAAAACAGGGCAGGTACATAAACAAGGAGGAAAAAAAGTCCAATCAATCAGCAAGATTACTCTGGGGCAAGGCCAAAAAAGGCTTGTGAGAAAAGCCAGGTCCTAACTTGGGTCCTGAAACCAAGGAAGGAATTATACCTTAGGCGGGAGGAAGTTTCAAAGTGATGGAATGACCACCGAGAAGGCCAGGTTTAGAGTGGGAGATTTTTGGGCCTCCCTCAGGGTCACTATCCACAACATCCTAGTGCATGAGGTATGGGTGGGATGGATAGACATTTTGAGGAAGAGGTGCTCAGACAGGTACCAAGGCCCTAAACTGTTCAGGGCTTTAAATGTTAACATAAGTACTTTGAACTTGGCCTGGAAGCATATTGGCAAGCAGTGCAGATGCACCGAGACAGGTGAAATATGATCAAATTGTGACGTTCCAGAAACCAGCCTGGCCGCTCAGTTCTGCACTTGCTGCAACTTCAGAACTGCCTTCAAAGGCAGCCCAACATCGAGAGTGTTGCAATAGTCTGTTCTCAAGATTACAAGTGCATGGACCAGTGCTGTAATGGACGTCCTGTCAAGATCGGGCAAAGGTGTGTGATCTGCCTCAGATGGCAAAAGGCAGGCCTAACCATAGCAAGATACCATAGCATCCTGGCCACCCCAAATGTTTCTCTGGCCTCCCCTCCCATCAACGGTGTTCCAAACTCTCCTGGCACCTAAAGTCTGCATCACTCTCTCACTCACCGCTCATGATTCTGCTCTGTTTTCCTCCCCATTCTGCCACCCCTGCCACTTCTTCCCCCTGCCCAGAACCTTCACCTCCACTTTCTGTCCCACATCAGCATTCCCACTGCTTCTTTCTTTCCCACTCACTATATCCCCCATTCATCCCCTCCCCCACCCATATACCCTGTCACCACCATCATTTACTCTCCCTACCTTTGGTTGTGCCAGAACATCTTTGTGGATGGCATTCGGTTACTATACTCTGAACAACATGTTCTTTTGTAACTGCCAATCTCCGAGGGCCTCTCAGAGCCCCACATTTTTAAATATCTGTGCAATGCCCAGTTTTTGATTGCTAGTTGGCATTTATTTCAGTTATAGTTTTAAATATGCAAATTCTTGCCAAGTTTTTTTGTGTGTATGTGAAGTATTTGCAATATTCCATTCAAACACTTACTAATCCCATAGAATCCAAAAGAGATTCCGGCATACCAGTAATGCCTCCTCCTCGGCTACAGATTATCAGTGTGTTCACACACAATACACGGGTGGTCTGATGCCTGTGAAAGAGCAGCACCATAAAACATTACGTTGGTGCTTTCCACAGACTCTTGACGTGTTTAAGCTGGACCTTAGTGTGGTATGAAATCACATTATGAGTGAGCTGACCTATACACAGGTTATAATTAGCAGGTTGCATCAATATTTAAAGAGTCAAAAATCTGTTGCAAATTTCCTGAGGGAGCTTCATCCTCCTGCAGGGACATGTCAGTGACATCCACCAAATGATTCCCCAGACAATTATTCATATACTGAAGGGGAGAATCAGAGCTCTAGGGAACAACTTTCTTTTCTGCTTACTGTATACAGGAAAGTTACACACCTACACAAGTCAATTCAAGCCAAAAATAGCAAAACATCAAACAACCACACATTCAAATTAAGTTTGTGAGGAGAAAGCAACCTGGCAAGCATGCAAGATAATGGGCTATAAATTTTTGATACTGTTTTTTTCTTGGAGAAGCAGGGATGTTAAGACCATGTTATTAAATGTTAGGAAAAGGTGATACAGACCTTTCAGGATTCTCGACTTCTTCAGTAACGAAATTAAGGTAAAACCTGCAAAAGCAACATTTACAGGGTTATAAATTATTTCTGTCACATTTATCAAATCTTGGAAAAGTTATATTTTGGCTACAACTCCTATGCTGACTGCAGACATCTGGGTGTTGTAGTCCAAAAAGTAACTTTTCTGAGTTCCATCATTTTTTAATGCTACATTTCTCAGCATACAATTGCATACTTCATCTTCAAAATCTCTGTGTCGGCAATGTAGGCTTTAAACAGAACCTGGAAGACAAGTACTAGGAAACTGTAAAGGAGACCCAGAAAAAAAGCACCCTTACTCTGAATTGAGTCATTTATTTGCTTTAATTAATTTAATTTAATTTATTTAACCATTCACCCCACATAACTGAGTACTGCCAACACTGACATGCAACAGCTGCTGAGGTTTGGGAAACAATCTAACCCAGCTCCAAGCCAAGACATAAGCAATTGAATCTGGGACCTTCTTCATGCAAAGCCTATGGTTTACCACTAAGTACATACATGAGTACTGTATTATACATTTAACCCCTCTACTAAAGAGTCCTATTACACTCCAGTTTAAAACATAGTAACAATTTACCTGGAATGTGATTAATGGCAGACAAAACAACCCACAATGAAGAGGGTACATCTAAGACAAAGTTTCTCAACTTCTAGTCCCCAGACGTTCTTGGACTAAAACCTCCAGAAACCTTCACAACTAGCTGTGCTGCCCAGGATTTCTGGGGTTTGTAAGAATGACATAGACATACCAGGGGTTGCCTAACCCCTATTCACAGAATTCCTACAGAAATCCACCCCATTGTTAATTTCCTCCAGTCAGCACAACTGGGGTTAGGGTTGCTCTCATATTTTAACAAACCAACCAACCTTCAATAAATCCAAACAAACTTACCACCCTGAGTAGGCATACATTCCTGAATAAAAAGCAAGGGGCAATCCTTTAACGCTGGCAGCATTCCCCACAAATGCATTTTTAAAGTGCTCAGTTTCTCCTGAAAAGCAATTTTAAAAAAAATCATGAGAATTAGTAAGGGTATCAACTTGGATATCCATGGGAGCTATCCATTTACAACACAGACTTAATAACAATCATAATAAACTTAATCATCATCATCATTCCCTCATACTTCAGAGAAAAGAGATGGATGATTAATTATATGAAAAGGGAGTTTGACTGGTGTGTAGCAGTGGTTGGAAACCTCTAACCCCAATGTTCCCATAATCCTTTACCATTATACCCAGGATGAGTCTGAAAGGAATTATAAGCTAAAATGAGTGTAAGAGTGAAAGATCCCCACCCTAGATGTATATGCTGCTCCCACATCCATTCTTGGGGATAGGTCCTCTGAAAGACTGCCTCCTCCCATATGCATCTGCCTAGAACCTCAGATTTCCACCAGAGGTTTGTTACGTTTCCACCCCAAGAAGATATTGGTGCATGCAGAAAACAGGGCTTCCACTGTAGCAGCACCACTGTTATGGATCTCTCTCACACAGGGAAGTTAGGCTATTTCTGTTCCTGACCAGCTTCTGCTAAGGTAAAGGTAAAGGTTCCCCTTGACAATTTTTGTCCAGTCATGTTCGACTCTAGGGGGCGGTGCTCATCTCTGTTTCCAAGCCATAGAGCCAGCGTTTTGTCCAAAGACAATCTTCCATGGCCACATGGCCAGTGCGACTTAGACACGGAACGCTGTTACATTCCCACCGAGGTGGTCCCTATTGATCTACTCGCATTTGCATGCTTTCGAACCACTAGGTTGGCGGGAGCTGGGACAAGCGACAGGCACTCACTCCGTCACGTGGATTCGATCTTACAACTGCTTGGTCTTCTGAGCCTGCAGCACAGGCATCTGCGGTTTAGCCCACAGCGCCACCACGTCCCAGCTTCTGCTAGGCAGCTAAAATTCCATTATTCTGAAAGGCATTGTGTTCTTAAAATTGTTTTTAAAATTGCCTATTTGGAGATGCTTGCAGTGAGACTGAATAAATGTGAGTTGGATGAGTCAGCGGACAGATGTAGGAACTCTAAATATCAAAAATCTCTCCCTGGCAGTGACATGATCACACTTACACAGGTATAATTTATAGAACAGGATATTGTCCAATGTTCTAATCTATATTTAACAACTGTGTTATCTATTTATATTCCTTTGAAAGCCCTGGTGGGCCGAAAACAATATATAACTACTTTCAATAATAAATAAAGACAATTGGCCTCTTCTGTTAATACTAAATGAAGCAACTGCATATTTTTATTAACTGTACATTCAATATCATATGCTGTGTGCTAATAAAGCAAAAAAAATCTGGAATTATTGGCTGTAATGTTGCTATATACAGTAAGCAATAGTAATCAATCAGATCCTATCCCTTCCATCTCTTTTCTATATAGTACTGAGTAACATTTCTGAATTAAGAGTCCTACTATTTTTCTAAGAATCAGTATTATCTTTCTAATGCAAAGTAAGGGCAAGTATCTTGCATATTTCACACACCACATAAGAATGAGTACTGTAAACTACATTATATTAAGCAAATGTCAGAATCTTTAGAACACATAAAAGTAAACATTTGGGGAAATTTTATCTGAAAGGTGGTAACATGTACACATAATAATAGAGATGCACCCTTGTTGGCCACTAGTTATTTGGAATATTAAGCTTCCAACTCTAATATCTTGTGAATATTATTTTGAAAGCAATCCAGCTATTTTAAAAAAAAGTTAGAATAACCTATTGACATATGTGACATATTATAATTACCTGTAGTTCCACACATTAAGAAAACATTTTTTTTACTTTCTGTTTTCACAAATACTTCTGTTCAGGAGTTGCAATAAAAAGTTTCCACAAATAAAACCCCACAGATATAACCACCATAAAAGAAGATTGTTGGAAAATTTTCTATGGGGATTAGCCACTGCAAATGCATTCTGTCACTTTTTAACTACATTTTTCACACAAAGTTATCTTGCTTTTCCCTGCTATTAAGCTACATAAAAGATAGAAAATATATTAGTTAGGAGGATTGTTCAAGGGTGGACTTATCTTTGATTTCAAAAACTTTAAGAATGACTCTACCAAGCATCAAAAGGCAAATTCTAAGATATATTTTATTTGATTTTTATTTCTGTTAGTTGGCCAATTTTATTGGTGATATCTATTTCAATCAAGTAGCAACAAATTAAGCCCAAATTCACAATGGTAAATTTATCAACTGCTTTATCAACTGTATCTTTATAACATAAATATAACTCACAATTCAGGCTGGACATACACTGTTTGACCATTAAAACAATGTTATTGACATTCCATTCTTGTGGGACCATCAAGATGAACAAATCTATTTTACCAGGAGACTAAGGTGCCATGGAACTTTTTGCTGTTTTTATTGCCTGAGAGTAACATAATTACCCTTTAAGAAACTGTTACTTGAGGGAGTTTGGTTGCTTTATACATAATGATAAGCTGTGTACTATGGATGCACATCCACACGCACGGACATTTGTGCATAAACAAAAATGCTTGAGAGTTCTGTCATCACTGGTTGCTCAAAGTCTCTTTCCAGAGTGTTTATTCTTCTAACATTTTTCCCCTCAGAATAGCAACTCATTGGTCCTTCATTTTAAAATTATGGATCCAATCTCAATATGCTCTCATCAGCATGGTGCTGTAAATATATTTCTTCTCAGCATAGTTCTATTTCCAGTTATTTACAAGACAGTATGGAGCTTATGTTGAACAAGCAGAGACTAATTAAGAGATGTTGCTGGCATAAGCAGTATTTGGTCAGGGCAAGGTTGGGAAGGGGGAGATAAAAGCACTTAAAATAGCATTTACTTTTCAGTTCATACCTTTAATTAGCTGCATAACTCCAGGGACTATAATTATCAAAATTGCTGCAAGCTTGCAAAAGGTTAGGAAAATCTGGATACGGGCACTCCAGCTGACACTCATGCTATTCAGGACCATTACAATAGCTGGAAAGTGGGATTTAAAAAAAGAGAGCGAGAAAGAGAATAGTTAAAAGGAAGAACACTTTATCTATCCAAAAACACCATGATCTCCATCAAGAGAGCATCTTCCCCCAGCATGTATTCTGGACATTTGCGATGGAACAAGATTTACCCTTATAAACATTCCTTTCTTTAGACTTCTTGTAATTTTACCCAATCTTCCTACACTCTCATCCACATGCCTCTACTGGACCACCTGCCACACATTCTACTAGCTATAAATCTCTTGCAACCTTTCAGCAGAAGAAATTAAAGCTTCCTCCTGACTGGTAGAACTGCCTGCCTGACACTGGTAATTGATGGACTGGTATAACTCAGCCCTTACATTGAAAATGCATTTCATATTTCCTTTCAGTTGTAATCTCTGACTGATTTAACTGCACATTTCTATGTCACGTGACAGTGAGCACAATGCTTCACATCCTCACAATTATGGGGTCTGAAAAACATTGCCCTTAAGTGCATTGTTCACATTAATTTCATGTTATTATTTTGTCTTCTTTCCTTCCTTTCGGAGATTTCCAGAGGAGTAACCATGTTAGTTTGCTGCAGCAAAAACAACTAAGAGCCTTGTTATTTTATTTGGAATAAGCTTTTGTTCAACACAGAAGATTTTTTAAAACAGAACTCACTGTGCAAATGATTTTGTGGCAACTACACTATTATTGTTGTTCTACTTCATATCCTATGTCAGTAATGTGTTGTGTTCTCATTAGCAGGATGTCACAAAAAGACCCGGCCGGGATCTAATGGTTGTTGTGGGTTTTTCAGGCTCTTTGGCCATGTTCTGAAAGTTATTCTTCCTAACGTTTTGCCAGTCTCTGTGGCTGGCATCTTCAGAGGACAGCATTCTGTGCTCTGGTGTCATTTGTTTGGGAGTTGAGTATTTATGGCTGTGAGATCAGCTTTTGTCTATCTCTCCTCCTTATCACAACAATACATCCACAAACAAGACACACAAATCACCCATCTTCTGAAAAAGTACAAAAGCTGATCTCACAGCCATAAATACTCAACTCCCAAGCCAACTACACCAGAGCACAGAGTGCTGTCCTCTGAAGATGCCAGCCACAGAGACTGGTGAAACGTTAGGAAGAACAACCTTCAGAACATGAGCCCGAAAAACCCACAACAACCACTCCCTGGTTTCTTCTGTCAGGCAGTTTTTTGTACCTTAAAAATGTAAAATATAAAAGCAAAGGCCTGATAAATAGATTGAATAAAACTTGAAGGAATTCCATAAAAATGCCTCTAAAATGGCCATAAAAAGTAAATTATGACAGTAACTAGAAAACATTACTTATTATACCAAAAGAGTACAGTGGACCCTCAACTTACAGACAGCTCGACTTACAGACTTTTCGAGTTACAGACTTCTCTGGCCGCAAAATTTAGATTCGACTTGCAGACGGAGAATCGACTTACAGACCAGAAAAAAACCAAAATGGAACAAAAATAGAATAAAAACTGCCAGTTATGGGATTAATCGGTTTTCAATGCATTGTAGGTCAATGGAGATTCGACCTACAGACTTTTCGACTTGCAGCCACCGTTCCAATACGGATTAATTCCGTAAGTAGAGGGTCCACTGTAATTTTATTCATGATACGGTATTACTTTTGAAAGGTAACCTAGTTATATCATCTTTAGCTCAAAAGTAACTAGACAGACTTAACTGCATTCCCTCTAGGTAACTGCTTCCGAGCCATGGCTCAGCCTCAGTATATAAATTCACATACATAAACCTTGTATATAACAGAAAGCTCATAACTCCAATGACCTATTCTATCAGCCACACTAGACGCTGTTCCATGTCCTTGATACAGAGCACATTACCATAGTTTCTCGAGACTGAAGGATGCCTAAGAAGATTCTATCAGAGTTAGCTATAGAATCTCTTGAAAAATCTCACCACTCAGACATGAGGTGTACAAATGTAACTATGTGAAAAGAAATGAAAAACTTTATATTTTCATGCAAATATCTAAGGAAAAGGACTTCCATTATTCTGCCTTGAACAGAATTATAGAACTCCAGAGAGAAAAAATGGGGCCCCTGAGTTCTTCAAATGAGAACTTACTAGCAACAATATTTTCATTATATTTCTGGAAGGCAGGTCACTGTACAGGATGCTTAATTTTTGATCAAATAATGGTTAATGAGACCCCGAGTTATGTGAATGACAAACATCTCACAGCACTCATGGCCTTCCTTCTAAGCAATCTGAGAAATGAATCATAAATCACCCTTCTTAAGTGAGTCATACTTATATCAATGAAAAGCCAACCTGTGTTTGAATATAGTTTATCAGTATTCATGGCAAGGCTTCATTATACATTCAGCCAAGTTCCAACCAGTTGGGAGTTCTGGTTAGCCCTGTGAGTGTGTGCACGTGTGTGGGCAGGCACACATTCCTGTTGTGTTGTGGCTTTGAAGTCTGACATAAAGAAAGGAGAAAGGATGAGGATGTGATTTAATGCTACAACTCTTCTGAACAAAACAGGTTCTGTTTGTTAAGTACTGTATATATGTGTGATCAGCCACCTGGGTAGCTTGTATAGTCCTCCTAAGTTTAATGGTAGCTTTAAAAAAAACTAAATCACAAAGGGATCTCCAATGAATTTAAGGCCGCCATAGCACAAAACTTTAAAAAAAAGGGAGGGGAGGAGAGTCCTAAAATAGCAGAGAGGCTGAGAAAACAAAGCAGGGGAAACTTCACCTTTTTGGAAGTAGAAACATGGACAATAAGAAATAAAAATGAAAACACTGCAGTACAAAACAGTATTATCAGTGAGGAGAGCTCAGTCCAACAGCAGATCCAAAGAAAATATGGACATTAGCATCATGGAAGATACCAGAAGGTACACCAATAAAGATTGAGCATGAAAAGTTCCATGATTTTTAAAACCCTCACATTTCTAGAGGAAGAGAAAGCATTCAAATTTCATTGCAATTCATACAGAAGAAATTAAGACAAGAGGAACACTGTCTAAATGCCCCAAATGGACCAGTGACATCAGTATCAAAACCATGTACCAGGACACAGTGAACTGTATGTGTGGAAGAGCCCTTTAATAGTTACACTGAGTTATTTAACAATAAAGACAGTTTGGTACAGGCCACTGGCCTGTGAAACTAAGTAGTGTACAATTATTTGGTACAGTACACCTGAGTAATGAGGCCATACATCCCATAACAATTTTAAAAATAAGTTTGATTGTGTTTGAAAGCTTATGTTCCTACTGCTGTTTGAAAGAGATAACTGTTGGAATTAATTAAATTCAAGTATTCTAACAACTATTAGGTAGTTGTCCATGATAAACCTGAGCGGGTGGTAATTACATAACTCCAGGCATTCATAGATGTAAGTAGTTATCTATATTTATTACAGTTGCTTTCCAGGCTTGGTTTTAGTGCTTTCCAGTAGCTCTTGTAACTGTAATTGTAACTAGATGGCTGAAGTGTGCTACTATTATGCAGGGCTGCTTTGAAGTCTTCTCACAAATGTCACTCACTTCAGAATCCAGGAATCCAGATGGTAGCTGAAAATGGCACTGGGAAATATGCTCGTTTGGAAACAATGGAACTGGGTGCTTGTTGCTTCTGAGTGCATTTCAAATGTCCAGGGTGCATATGTTTTAAAGTCTAACATAGCTTTGTACACGGGTACCCAAGGGCGATATTTTCTCACATTGTGCATTAATATGTCCATCAGGAAGACTTCCTTATTGTTTTCCGAAAGATGTTTTCTGAAGGTAACCTATTCTAGGCTTGTGTTGATGGGGCCTTTTCAGTTTCGCTATTGCCTCTGGAAAATTCACCACCATGCACTGGCTCTCCCACAACTAGGCAAAGCTCTCTTTTTTTAAAAGTGTCCTCAGGGCTTTTTAATTGTCATTATATTATTTTAATATCTTTTTCTTAGCCCTGCTATATTTTAATCTCCTCTGGTACTTTTTGTTGTTGTTTTATTGTTCTATCGGTTACATTAATTGTGGGTGACTATAATGCCATGGGGGAGATATTCTTCCCTAAAGAAGTCAGGTATAAACTGCAAATAATACTTTAATGTGAGCAGGTTCTAAAATCTGTGTTTGCTTTCCTTGCAAATTAAGTCTCGTATCAATACCTGAGGCACATGTTGTCTCTTTTCCACAGTTCTCTGCCAGACTCCACTAGATATCCTTGCTACTGCCCTAGGTATTCTCTGTGCTGAAATAATTCATCAGCAGAGGTATTTACTCATCTTGCAAACCAAAATCAAAAACCTGGGGAAAAATAGGTTTTATGTGCATCTCTGTGTGTGTTTCTATCTGCATTTATTTATATTAACACATTATTTGATGTATTTTATGCATCAGAGTAAGAATTATTCTCTTCTCATCAACAAATGTACACCTGATATTTGGTATGTAATGTGATTATGGTTACAGATAATGGGAATATGACCTAGTCCAAATGCTAGAACATTGCCACCGAAGAAGCCATTTTCTTTATCACAATTTTCGTAGATCAGCTGACCCTTTTTTATTTACCAAATCAAAATATTGCCCAAATACCAAATGCTGTCAGCATATGTCAACTGAAGGAGATTAAAGCCCATTGTGGTTGAAGTATAGTACAGCATGTTCCTCATTGGTATCATTGAACTTAAATAGTCCGTTCTGAAACAATTTCTTCCTAGTTTAGGAGGTGATCCATAGAAAACTCTTTTACGCCTGGCTCATTAGAAGTATACTCAAGAGGGTTGGGCTCTGGCTCTTACCCATATATTCTGGGCAGGGCTAACATACTACCACTGGAGGCAACAGGTACTGTTTTCGCTCTCTGGGGGCAAATTGGCTTCTTCAGCAGTTTTTAGCATGCCCTGCATTTGTGTCATCCTAGTTCATCTTACTATAATTATTCCTTCACGTGTTTCTTTCGGTGTCTCTCCTGACAGCATTATGGCTTGGATTCAAAGG